ATATTTTTCCCCAGAAAATGTATTCCTCATAACTTGAGGGGCTTATGTTCTAATAGATACACGTCCACTTTCACTATAAGTTCAATTATCTCAATTTTTGTAAGAGATATCAAAAATTTTCAACTGATAATTTATTTAACATAGTATCACCAACATTTTATCGATCGACAAAATTTTGATATCTTTCGAAGGAACCGAGCTAATTGAGCTCAAAGTGCACGTATAGGGTTGGCTTCTATTAGAGCAATTACAGTACTTTCAAAGTTTACTCCAAATACATGTTTACTTAGCAATTAATCATCGTTACCAGTCAACCTCCCCGTCCCCACGTTTTATTACAATCGAAAAAACCCTGTGTGTAATTTTGGTGTCTCTGACCAGCCACCCCTCTGAATCATCATTGAGTGCTCTCTCTCTTCCTTGCAAAAGGTGTAATATCTTGTTCTTCTTCTTCTTCTTCTGCAGCTCCTTCTTCTTCTAACCCCCCGTCCCCCTCTCAATTCATTCATCATTTTGACCTCCCTCTTGTTCTACTGAAGAACTCATTTTCTAATTCATTGAATAATATTTTTCAAGTCCAAGGCCTAGATGCCAAAAATTTTGACTCGAACGGAGAGATTTCAATCTTTGTGCCCTTTTCTCCTCCTCCCTAAAATCTATTTTTTCGATCTCAATTCTTTCCTTCAAAAAAATGTTTTTGTTATGAATCATCATTCTATTCCATTCCTTCCCCTCAGTTTTTGCATTATACTCCCCCCTCTCATCCCATTATCCATCAATCGGGTAGTTAGTTCTGAGAATATACGGAAACAAAAAAATGAAATGGGGTCCAATATACGAATATCGGTGGCAAATCATCATTATGAGAGAGGAAGAGGAAGATGGCAGTTTCCGGATTTTTCTTAGGGATAGGTTTTTTGTTTTTGAAAAAAATCAAGAACCATATTTGCTCTAATAGAAATCCATGCACTCTGAGCTCAATTATCTCGGTTCCTATGAGAGATATCAAAAATCTGTCACTGATAAAATATTGGTGATATTATCTTCCTTACACAGTGCGTTCAATAAGGATAGGACATCTTTCGATTTCGAGGGTTCCGGAGAAAAAAAAACTTGAAAGCGGTATAAAAAATCTGGAACTGCCATTCGATTTAGAACACAAAATAACCTCCATGTACGAATTTTCATGTCTCTAGCACTTACTGTACTCGCGTTATACCCAAATGTCACTTTTGCAACCGTTCAATAAGGATAGGACCACCCCGGAAAATGAAAGATCTCAAGTTACTTAGGGAACACAATTGAATTTTTTCGTTGGAAATGGTTAAGATAGTCTTAAAATAGCCTATTTCGAAAGTTTAGACAAGTATTGATTCCTCTCATCAAGTTTTAGAAAAAATTCGAATTCCATTCTGATGAGATATGCCATTTGTAACCAAAAAAGTGCTGAAAATACCGAAACCAGCACTTCAAAAACTGCATCCGAAATTTTCAGAAAAATTTGAAAATTTTGGACCACTTTTTCAACAATTCAAACTTGACTACCGTATGTCCTCTAATTGAAGCACACACAAGCCGTCGATTTTAAGCTCACTTACCGTAAAACCTCTAATAGAACGACACCCGGATCGTCCACTTTGAGCCTATATATCTCATTTTCTGCAAAAGATATCAAAAAGTGGCTAACTAGTAAAATGTTGCTGATATCCTGATAAACTGATATCCTGATAAACATTTGCTGATATCCTGATAAACATTTACTAGTTAACCACTTTTTGATATCTTTCACAGAAAATGAGATATATAGGCTCAAAGTGGACGATCCGGGTGTCGTTCTATTAGAGGTTTTACGGTATCTTGATTCCTGTGAGAGATAATCAAATTCTGTCAATTGATAAAGTGTTGGAAATAATATGATAAATATTTTATCAGTTGACAAATTTTTTATATCTTTTACAGGAACCGAGATAATTAAGCTCAAAGTTGATTGTATTTTCCACTAAAAATTCAAAACATTTTGGTCCGATACTGTAGTTTTACTTCAGTTTGATCATTTTTTTTAATTCACATGAGAAATTTAGTTTGGGAAAAGTCCAAACTTCTAGATTCTTCTCATAGTTTCCAAAATAAGGAATTTAGAGATTTTCGTTATTCCCCTAACATCTACAAAAAATTACCAGGATTACAGAAACCCACATATCTCGAACACAATCTTGAAATTTAATAAATTTTCCCAAAAATCTCTCCGGAAGATACCTAAGGCTTTCTTGAGCCGATTGACGATTGCTTTTCTAGAATTTTCTATTTTTAACCCCCATATGTGCCACGTCACCCGAAATTCTCTTCATATTTTAGGCTTCTGAATCATTTTTCTCCACTTCATCATAGTGATTCATCGTCCTACCGTACCACCAGGTTACTAGAAGATTCCTTCTAGAAAGAATCCTTCTAAAAAGTGGGCGGAGCCTCCTAAACGGACCATCGTCATCTCTCCGTCTCTTTTCTCTCTCTCTGTCAATCGGTGGTCAAACCATTTCCACATGCTGATGTATGTATGTATGTGTGTTCATTCCATCCCCCATTTCAATTCGTCCCCCATTTCGCAATGCTCTGATCCCCCAGAAATTTCTCTGCTTCTCTCGCCCGCTCTCTCCATATCCCAAACTCTCTCACTTCTCGTCGGGCGTGCTCCCGCAATCAAAAACCGTTGAGATATGTCTCTGTGAGGGAGCGGAGGCGAGATAAAAGAGTTTTTCGTGTGTGTGTGCCCTCCCGCAAAACTCTCTTGTGTTTTTTTTTCCGTTTGGATTTCTTAGCAGCAGCAAATTCTTGCACTTTCTTTCATCTCAGATTTTTTTTTCGTTCTTTGCAAAAGTTTCTAGAAGAGCTTTAAATCTTCATTTTTCCTTCAAATCGATTGGGAACTACAGTATCCTTTGTCTTGGACACAGGAGAAGAAATAACAGAATTGAAGGCAATTATCCTGTATTTTACAGTTGAAGAGAGCCATTTCACTGTCTTAAGTTTTTGTTTTTGGGTGAGTTTTGGAACTTTTAGAGATTATGAATCTTATGATATTTTCGAATTTAGGGATTCTGGAATTTCAGATTCCAATATTCTATGATTCTAATTCTTGGAATGACCTAGAAAACTAACAGTGGTCTAGAATTCTTGAAAACAGCAAGAACTCTCAAAGTGAACTAGAAATTCAAAATTTATAGTTTAGAATCAATGTGGCCTAGATTCAATATGACCTTGGATTTTCAATACGATCTGGAACTCTCAAATGGCCCAGAAAATCAAAAATAGTGGTCTATAATTTTCTAAAATAGTCATAAAATACCAAATTTAGATATTTTGAAAGTCAAAAATCCCGAAATTCTAAGATTCCCATATGTATTTTTCGATCTATTTCGAAAAAATCTTTCAAAAAATCTTGAACATCCTCACAAACTGATGTGTGAAAAATGGACGAGCCAGTTGTTTGAGTGTTCTCTTCTAATGATGAAAAAGCTCATAAAATGCGTTAGTCCCTCTTGTGAAAGCTTTTGTAAATCATATGTTTTTTGAAAAAACTTTTTTCTCTTACTTAAAAATTTGTACAGCTCACCCTATGCACTTTGAGCTCAACTATCTCGGTTCACGTAAGAGATATCAGGAATCCACCAACTGATAAAATTTGAATCATATTATGACCTACATTTTACTAGTTCGCAAATGTTTGATATCACTTATGCGAACAGAGATAATTCGGCTCAAAGGCAGTTCTCCATCGATTTTCTCTCTCTCTCTCTCTCTCTCTCTCTCTCTCTCTCTCTCTCTCTTTTACTATCAATTTTCAAAAATACATTTTGATGTTTCATTCTTTTCAGGACAGGACATCCCTTCTTTTATTATCTACCATACCACCAAAAAATGTCATCAAGATCTCCATCGCCTCCAAAAATCACTCTTCAGGTTCGTTTTCTTTGATTCAAAAAAGAAATAGCAAAGAACCTCTCGGGTTTTTAAAGTGCTTTCGGTTTTGAACTCACCAGCTGTGTCAAAATGATTTCGAGGAAAAACATACATAGAGAGCTCTTGAGGAAATTTGGGGAGAATGTCAATAAGAGGGGAATCCCAAGAGTTAAGAGTCAACTTCGAGCCAATTTATCTAGTTTACTTTGAAAGATATCGAAAAGTTGTCAATTGATGAAGCATTACTAATAATACTAAAAATATTTTTTTCAGTTGGAAACTTTTTGATATCTATTACAGTGACCGGGATAAATTGGGACTAGGGTTGTCTTGGGGGCGAAAAGGGGCGATCCCCGCCCCGCACCCCCGGGGCGGGGATTCGCCCCCGCACCCCCGGGAGGCGACATACTTTGCGTAATCACGCGTAACTGAATGGACCAATTGACTTGAAACTTTCAGGGTAGCCTAATTGTGTACCCTGAACCGTAAAAAAATTGAAAAAATTCGGTTACTGCTTCATTCAACGAACTGCTTTTTTCCACAGGCGGGGGCGAATCCCCGTCCCGCTTGCGGGGCTCCCGCGTAAAAGCGGGAGCCCCGTTGCCAACCCTAATTGGGACAAAGTCAATTCTGTGAAAAATAGCAGCCTGCGGCGGACGCGGTCAGCTGCAGCCTACCCACCTATCTTGTTTGAACCCTAGTACCTAAAAATGTCCAATTTTGTATTTAAAATGCCTAACCGTTCAACATTTTTATGGAATTACCCCAAAAGGGTTTGATCCGATTTTCAGATACCCGTAATTCGTTCCCAACTACGGTGGTTACTCAAATAGAAGCCCACCCTATACGCGCACTTTGAGCTCATTTATCTGAATTTCTGTATGAGATATCAAAAAGTGGTCAAGTGACAAGCTATTTTTAATATTAGAATAAACACTTTGTTAGTTGACAACTTTTTTATATCTTTCAAAGGAACAGAGATAATTTAGCTCAAAGAGCACGTATAGAGTGGACTTCCTTCGATTAGAGCAAGTACGGTATCAACTTCGAGCCCATATATCTCGGTTCCAATGAGAGATATGAAAATTTTGCCAATTACGAAAGTTTTTATCATATTATCACCAACATTTTATTATTTGAAAAAATGTTGATGTCTTCCAAGGAACGTAGATAAATGAGCTCAAAGTACAGGGTGGCGATCTATTACAGTAATTTAGAAGGGTTCCTATTTTTGAAACATCCAGGATTTCCCATTTCTAGAAGTAAACAATTCTTTGAGCTGAGTTTTTTTTGCAACTCAGAAAACTCCAATTTCCTGACCGTTATCAGAAATTTATCAGCGACATGGTGTCGCCTTCGAACATTTGCTTGCTACTTCTTATTTTACTACTTTTTTTGCCATTTTGCAATTTTCGAAAAATTCCACCGGAAATAATCAAAAATCGTATCAACCGTTCTATCCGTTTCTTCTTATTCTTTATCGACAACATCTTCTATTTCCGATCGTTTCATCATTTTTGTGTCACTACCAATTAGCCTCTCTCCTATTTGCAACTACAATTCCTTTGGTGATAAGAGAGTACTGATATCATTTTCCAATTTACTTGATTTCGCATTAAATTCTTTGAATTCTGTTTCATTTATTTCTCCCCTTTTTTAGATTTTCAGAAAAAATGTTTTGAACTTTGGAAACTGACAAAAGTCTGAAAATGTGATATCGTTGCTATTTTTAGAAACGTTTTGATATTTTTTTTGTTGTTGAGAAAACAAAAAACAAACTTTGCAACATGTGATGTAAACATAAAATAGGTTCGGAGACAAAGTACAAAATCTGATATTCTAAAATTCTAAAATTCTAAAATTCTGAAAGTCTGAAATTCTAAAATTCTAAAATTCTAAAATTCTAAAATTCTAAAATTCTAAATTTCTAAATTTCTAAATTTCTAAAATTCTGATATTCCGGTATTATGAAGTTCTGGAAATCCGAAATTTGGAGATTCGGAAAATCTGAATATCTGAAAATTTGAAAATCTGAATTTCGGCATGGATGTTCAAAAGTTCTAAAATTCGGAAAATCTGAAAATCTAAAAAACAGGATTTCCGAATTTCAGGATTTTAGAATTTCAGAAATTCAGAAATTCCGAATTTTAAAAAATATGGAATTCTGAATTTCTGAAAATCTGAAATTCAGAAGTTCAGAAATTCAGAAATTTAGAAATTCTGAAAGTCTTAAACTCGGGCAATCTAAAATTCTAAAATACAGAAATTCTGAATCTCAAAAGCTGAAATTCAGAATTTCAGAAAATCTGAAATTCGAATTTTCTAAGATTCTGATAATCTGAAAATCTGAAATTCTGAAATTATGAAGTTCTGAAACTCAGAAATTTGAAATTGAGCAGTCGAAAAAACTAACTTTGACCGAAGATTCTCAAACTCTTCTATACAGTTCCGTTATCTACAGTAATCCCCATTTCCAGCAAGACGAAATGTCCCAAAGTGCTGAGCAACTTCTCGACGAATTGAGCAAGAAACTCGTTGACGAGGTCATTCCAGCAGCTCAAAAAGAGGCGGAGTCAGAGCGACAACACCAAAAGACTCCACCATCGTCGTTGAACGATTCGTACGCTGAAGAAGTGCTCGGAGAAGAGAGAAAACTCATCAAAACTGATGACTCCAGCGTAAGTCCTTTTTTTTCTGCTGCTACCCATCTTCTTTTTTTACCCCAACGCCCGGACAATTTCCTCTTGGTCACCCTCCATTTATTTTCTTCTTCTTCTTCCTACTAGTCCTATTCGTGTCCCTTTTTCTCATTTAGAAACCCCTCCGGATGGTGGTTTATATTTCATTTCGACATCTGTTTTTGTCCTTCTCTTGGAGATTCTGGAGGATCCTGGAGAAATGAATGACCTCTAGGATGAGCAATGAAGAAATAGGGGGAACTCAAATCAGCTGGGGAGAGAGAGAGATGGAGCATTTCTAATTGTTATGAAGATGGGTTATTGTCTAGACTATAGCTATAGTTGAGGGAATATTTTGACGGGCTTCCCCGGCAAAAAATTATTACAGAGGCGAAAAATGTGTATAGCTGATAGCAGCCAATTTTTCATTTTTATTATGGCCTCGACTGAAAATTTTGAGCGGAATATGCTTGAAATGTTATTCGTTGGGTTTCTCCTTTTTGTATAAAAAGCATTCGAAGTTTTGAATTTTCAAAATCTGTGAACTTTCAAAAATTAGAATCTTGAAATATTATTGTTAGAATATCGAAATATCAGATCACAGAAACCCAGAATCCCAGAATCCCAGAATCCCAGAATCCCAGAATCTCAGAATCTTAGAACCTCAGAATCTCATAATCTCTAAATCTCGGAAAATCAGAATTTTTTTTGGAATTTTAGAATCTTAGAATCTTAGAATGAGAGAATATGAAAATTGCAGAATTTTAGAATTTTAGAATTTTAGAACTTCCGAGTACCAGAATCTCAAACCCTTAGAATTTGAGATCCTCAGAGTCTCAAAATTTTTAAATCTCTGAAAATCTAATAGTAAGTTTTATTTTTTGATTTTCAGAATTGCTTGGCCCCTGGAATCCTAAAATTTGTATTTTCGTCCTCATTTTGAAATTTTATTCCTCATTTTCCTCATTTTTATTTTGTTTTCCTCACTTTCTTTCCATGTCAAAATGTACAAAATATTGCTATTTACATGGGGGAAAACGGGAGGTGACTAACCCTCTTGTTTCTCTCTGTCCAATTGTATATTACCAAGTGAAAACATGAAAAAGAGAAGGAAAAAACAGCGAACAGTATCTCTTGCTCTTTCTTTTTTCTATTGATTTTCAGTTTTTTTTTGGACGGAGACATGGAAAGTTCTAGAACTCAATATTCAAACTTTTCAAGATTTTGGTGCTAAAATCTAACAATGCTCTAATGCTCGTGAATGCTCTAATCAACGGCCACCCTATACACTCACTTAGAACTCACTTATCTTGATATTATGATAAACAATTGATCAGTTGACAAACTTTTGATATCTCTTATAAGAACTGAAATAATTGAGATCAAAATGCGCATATAAATCGAACCAGTAGTAGCCGGCCTGGAAACTAGGGTTCTCAAAATTTAAAGGCTTTTAGCTCGGCTAAAAATGTAGGTATCACAATATTGAAAACTAAGGAAATGTGTAAAATTTCATGTTCTACAATATATTGTTTGTAAAAGTTTGCTACTTATTTAGTTTCCAAGATATGCGCGCTTAAAGTAGGTGCTACTCTTTTCAGGCACCCGCTAACTTTAAAGGCGCATATCTCCAAAACTAGCAAAACTTTAAAAAATCGATAACTAACACAATATTGGAAAATTTATGTTTTTTATTTCATCAATTGATAAAATTAAGCTTGCTTTGCTATGTGGGCCTAAAATTCTGAAATTCTATAATCTTAGAATTCTGAGATTCTAAAATTCTAAAATTCTCAAAACTACGATTTCCAAACCTCTAGTAATAATACTACCGAGCTCTTCTCATGTTTCTTTTTTTCTTTGAAAACCGAGATTTTTGAACTCATCACTTTTCTTCATTTTCTCCGCCCATCCCCCCTCCCACCTACTCTTTCTCTCAAATTACGTACAAAATCACATGAAAACGAATTTACAAAAAAAAAAAACTTTTTTCGAAAGTTCCCCTTCAATTAGCATCGAGATAAAATCGCTTTTTCCGGTCCTCCTCCCATTTTCAAAAGTTTCAAAAACATTGTTTTGTGTTCCTGGTGCCCTCTAATTTTTCTCTTTTTTTTGTGTCACCCACTGATCAGAAAAAAAATAGAAAAAACGAAGAAATTGAGAGAAGGAGAGTGAAACGGAGGGTCAAACGGATGCCCCTCCAGCCTTTACACCCCTATACTTCCACACACGAAACATTTCGAACAACTCGTCAACTTTTTTTTTCCGTCGTCTCCAATGTTGCCGTTTTTATGAATGTTTGACCGATGTTTCGTGTGACACATATACTCCCGTTTTTTTTTCGAAACTTTTTTTGGGAGACTTGGTTCTCTGGAGACGTTTTTCTGGTTTTGACCCCACCAAAAATTACATCATTTTTCGAAAATTTCAATTCAAAATCCCTGCTTTCGGCGTAGCTCGATAGTTCTGAAACTTTACCGTGAAGGGCTTCCTACCGTATTTGATCTCATAGGACGTCCACTTTGAGCTCAATTATCTCAGTTCCTATGAGTGATATATAAAAAAGTTGTCAACTGATAAAACGCTTTTAAAAGTATGTTAAACTATTTGCCAGTTGACAAATTTTTGATATCTCTCATAGGAACCAAGAAAAAGTGGCTCGAAGTTGACTACCTTGAAACTTTTAAAAGAAGGCCCCACACTCTGTCAATTTTGAGCTCAAATGTGTCAACTGACAAAACGCTTCTGATATCATGATGATCAATTTATCAGTTGGCAACTTTCTGATATATTTTACTGGAGTCTAGATAAATTGGCTTAAAGTTAAAAGTTAGGAGATTATGCTATTACAGATTTTTGGTTCTAGCTAAATTCATGTTTCTCAAAAATTGATTAGTAAGATTTTTCACAAAAAAATCTTGAGAGAATTTTCGAAATTTTCAATTGATAAATTCTGAAAATTCTAGAAAAAATGGAATATATTGGAACAAGTCTTCAGAACTCTGAAAAACGTTGGCTCTAGTTAACTGTTTTGAATTCCAAAGACAAGTTAGTATTTTAAAAAAAAGAAGTTTTACTCCTTTTTGGATCTTTTGAAAAATTCAAAAATTCAAAAAATTTTAAGTTTTCTCTAAAATCCAATTTTTATCGGAATTGTTGTCTACTTTGAGCTCAATTATCTCATTTCCTGTCAAAGATATCAAAAAGTTGTCAACAGATAAAATATTTTTGATAATATACTACACATTTCATTGGTTGATAAATTTTTAAATCTTTCACAGGAATCGAGATAATTGAGCTCAAAATGCACTTAGAGAGTGATTTTCTAATAGAACATTTACGGTATATTTTTTTGAAAACTGAAAGTCGAAAGTCATTAAATCAGGTCAGAATAAAATTTTAAACATATCAGAGATAAAAATCCTGATTTGAAAAACTGTTTGCAGTATTTTCAGAATTTTTAAGACTTCTTGTTGGACCAAAATGAAAACCTATTTTCTTTTTCAACTTGTCTATTTTCCGTGCAAGACTTTCTCATTTTATCGACTTTCCAGTTCTGAAAGCATCCAAAATTCTGCGAAAATCAAAGTTTCAACTATTTCATTTTTCATTGAAAGTTTTCAGTTTTTTATTTGCAAAACCAGTTATTTAAATTCCGTATGATGACTGTCTATAATCTACCATGACCATCATCAAATTTTGAAATTTTTGCTATATGCTAGAGAATTGGTATTTTCGTTTTTTGTTTTTGATTCACAATTTTGAGGAATCTGAAAGTCTAAGACATAAAAATTATAAAATTCGAAATATTGGAGACTAACTGATTTTAAAATTTTAAGAATCTTATATTTTAAAAAGCTTGAAAATTTCCGAAATTGACTAAAAACTTATTCTAAAAAAAAAACCGTCTTCTCGAAGCTTCGGTTCTTTTCCTTTCCATCTCTAACTCCTCTCCCTTCTGTTAACAGCTGTCCCCTGCCCACCCTTCTCGAACGTTCTCCCCCGCTCCCCTTCTTTTTTGGCACCATGCCAATTAGCCTGACCAATTTCTCTTCGATGACCATTTGGCATATTGTCCGTTCGGCGTAAACAACATTGCCCTTTTTTAAAGGTTCATAGATCAAAGTGTCCAGAACCTTCGATTCGTCAGCTTCTGGCACCGTGCCAAAAAGCTATTAGCAATGTATAGACATCTTAATAGCGCGAGAAGAATGGCCTAGCCTTTTCAAAAGTTAGGCCAATATATATTTTTTTTTAATGTTTTCTTTTTCAGATTATCTGTTTTTTTTGTGGTTTTAGATCTCAATTTACGCTTCACTGCTTTATTTTTTTATTCGTTACCTAAAAGTTTATATTTCCTCTTCCATTTTCTTTTTTTTTCTTTTTTTTCTTAAAAATAAGGTCAAAGCAATTTTATTGAACACAAAAGGCAGCAAAAAACGAAATTTTCCACCCAGAAAAAGCTAAATTTAAATCACCCGCCAACTGAAACTATGCAAATGTGCTCGAGCGGCTTCTCCTCGTGTACGATTTTTGGAAAAGTGTTTACAACTTGAAGTTGTTTACCAATTGGCCCAGTTTTTGAAACTGTAAACAACATAATTTTTTGTTGAATTTTCGCGATTTTCTCGAAAAATAGCGAAGAAATCAAATTTTCGCACCGATTATTCGATTCTGGGCACCCCGAATTACCCAGAAATCAGAGTTTCCCGAGCTTTTTCGGTCAAAATTCAAATTTTTTCGATTCGCGCCAATTCAAAATTCGGCTTTTGCGCTCTGTTGACAACTTTGTTTACCGATTTTTTCAGCTTTTTGTTTACAAATTGACCTTATTTTCAGCAAAATGTAAACAAATTTGTTTACTCTATGGATTTTCGAAATCTAATCGTCATTCATTCACTCTAATTTCATCTGAAATTGTGACCAACGAACAATCCTCTGAATTTTGCGGTGAGTTGTCGGGGATTTTTCTGTAATTTTCAGGGGGGAGGGAGAGAAAGAGTGGCGCCGGTCTAGTGTCTTCTAGTTCTAGGTTACCTATTTTTCTCAGTACCGCACGTTTTCAGACTGCTTCAGAATCTGTAGTTTCAGCAGTTTTCTAGGTATTAGTCGTTCAGATTTTCAGCCTTTTCACCCGTTTTTGGTCCCTAGGTTCTAGATTCTCTACTTTTCTCTGCACCGCCCATTTTCGGAATGCTTCAAAATTCTCTGTATCGGCAGTTTTCTAGCTACTAGTCTCTCGGAATCTGTTTTTAGGTCCACCGCCCGCTTTTTTGGTCCCTAGGTTCCAGATTTTTTCGAGAAAATTCTTTATTTAAAGTTCGTAATTTACAACAGTTTCCGTCAAAATTTTACATCAAAATCCGTCGTGTTATCTAAAGATCTAGTGAACAAATGATCGAATAGAGAAAAAAAATACGCATTGATACAATGCAGAACGTTTCTATTTACAAAATGACGTGATTGAGGTCAGAGTATAGAAAGAACTTAGCGATTAATCTTGTTTTTTGGTTGAGAAAATACCACAGAACTGTACCTCCTCCTTGACGCCTTCTGGAAGCGATGATGGAGCGGCAGCGACATCTGGAAGCTTCGAAGTCGGCGGGAACGTCTTCTCGACAGCAGCTGGGGCTCCGCGAGCAGCGAGAAGCTCCTCCGGGTTGCGCTGTTCGTACTCCTTGGCGAGTTGCTCGAGCTTGTACTCGGCTTTAGATTCTTTGCTGTAGGTTGGGTCCATTCTGTAAATTAGAAGAGCGTTAGAAATTGATGAAGAATTTTGAAAATGAGGACTAGGAGGCCTATCTGGGGATTCAGTTCCTACTAGAAGCCTTCTAGAAGGCGTGACACTTACTTTAGAGCTCAGAAATCGGAATTTAGATTCAGAAGATGTAGTCGTCGTTAGCGAAATTGGGATAAGACACCAAGTGACTCGGTTTCTTCTATCAGTGAGGGAGGCGGAGCTTAAGACTTGAGAGCTTTGTTGTCCGAACTCTTACTTGTTTTTCTGTAAAATAGCCGACTCTAGCTTTTATATATTATCGAAAAAAGAGAAAAAAACGAAAAGCATCATAGACCAAAAAACAGTAAACTGCCAGCTAGCCCTCAACAAATGGACAAAATGATTCCGGGGGAATCCCAGAGCATAGAAAGACGTGAGAAGCGCCAGACGGTTAGAGATTGTTGTTGTTTCGGTTTTTGAGGTCCCAAAAAGGGGCGTGACAGTAAACAAGTAGGACTGAGAGAGTGAGAGAGAAAAAGGGGCGGAGCCTTCTGGAACCATCCACATGGTATATGGCTCGCAGATGGTTAGATCTCAAAGACCAATCACCACATGTAGATGTTCGCATTTAAAAGGAGGGGGGTCACATACTGCACCCTCAGTCAACACTAAATTTTTTATTCTTCCTCTGCGAAAAATTCAAATTTTCTCAGAGTACCCCGCACATTCACTAAACGACTTCAAACCATGCTTTCGAATCCGAACCTCAAACGTTTTGTTGCGAGCCAATGGAAGCCAGCTCAAATTTTGATTGTTGAGCAAGCTGGAACGTCGGTGCGATTTGTCGAGGTTAGCGGCAGTTTTCGATAGACTCGAGAGAGAAAATATAGGGGAAATAGGATAGAAAGTGTGCTCCTAACCGACTAATTTGAGATATTTCAGGGTCATTTTAGGCTAGTTTTGATATAAAAATAAGCTTTTCCTATATGGGAAGTATAGCTCTAGGATCTTTTCTTAGCTGAAAAATGTTCGGAACATCTAGAATAGAAGTTTTGAAATTCTAGAAAAATCCCATTTTCGAAACATTCTCAGCTTATGGCTTGAAAAAGTGACACGAATTCAAAGTTTGCAAAATTTTGTAATTTTGAAAGTCTAGGCTCTTTTTTCATCTCAAGTTTATAGAAAATCAGAGTTTTGAATTTCTAGAAAAAAAACCGAATTTCCAGAAATTCTTAGCCAAAACTCGGTTTTTAGAATTAAGACGCGGTTCTTGAAAAATTGAAAAGTGACACAAATTCAAAATTCTGAGATTTCCCGCCCATTTTAAATTTCGAAGTCTCTAGAACATCTCCTGATTATATCAGGCTGATTTCTCAACCATCGTCGCGTCACTCTATTTTTCGATGTATCGTTCCAAATCGGTTTCCATAACAATAACAACAATAGACGATTGTTCGATGACCTACTATTTTGATAACCATAGAACTGAAAACTTGCCTGAAATTCTCATTCTGATGATCTAGTGATCTCTTAGCGTTCTCTTAGCGAGAGCGTACCCATCCATGCCATTTCCATAAACAACAACGAACAAGAGGAAAATGGAAATAAGTAGAAAACAACATGGTAGAAGCTCAAAGACGACTAAGGCACCAATGATCATGTTTTTGTTTACGGCGCCCGGCGCACTGTCCCCTCTCTCTCTCTCTTCGAGTCTCTCGCTTCTCTGCGTCTCCCCGCTTGGTCATATGGGGAAGCCCCCTTCTCGTGTGAAGGAGGCGGAGCTTAGGAGCGAAAAGGGGGAGGCGCCTCAGAATAGAAGGTTCCAGAATGCCATATACATCATTTGAGCTGTGGCGTCTGGGACGAATAGTGGCTGGGATATTTAAAGGCCTCGGTTCGGTTCAGATTTTTATCATATCACATATCATTTCTCTATTCCTAATTCTAATATTCGGACCTAGTACTAGGCTACAGTTTGAGCTTGCTTTCTCTCCTTTCCCCCTATTTTTTTCTTCAAACGATCTTCCTTCTCCATTCTCTATTTATCACCTATTTTTCTCATTTTCCAGAATTCACCGCAAAACAATATGAGCTTCATTGAGAAAGTCAAGGAAACTGCCGTCAACGCCAAGGACGGAGTCGTCGGAGCGGTGAGCTAACCCCAACTAGTCAATCTCATTTTCTTATTCCACCTCCTTTTCAGTTCAACAACGCCGGCGAAAAGATTGGCGAATCAATCTCTGGAGACAACGCCCATAAGACCGGACAAGCGTTCAACGAATCCAGTGATTCTAAGAGAGCCAAGGCTCAGGAGTACGCGGATGCTGCTAAGGCAAACGCTGAAAAGACCGCGGACAAGGCTAACGACGTCGCCAGACAAACTGGTGAGGAGATCTCGGATTCTTACGAATCTGCCAAGCATCTTGCCGGTGACGCTGCCGACAGTGCCAAGGAGAACGCTGGACGAGCTGCTGATGCTGCCAAGGAATACAAGGACAAGGCTGCAGATAAGGCTTCATCGATGTTCGACAACTTCAAGGCTCATGCCTCTGATACCAAGGACTCGATGGAGAACAAAGCTTCTGGTGCCTACAACTCTGCCAAGGACAAGGCTCACGATGCCAAGGAGACCATCTCTGACAAGGCTGGAGAAGCATCGGACAAGGCCAAGTCGATGACCGAAAAGGCTGGAGATAAGATCTCCGGAGCTTGGGAGGCCACCAAAGACAAGGCTCAAGACATGGTTGATTCCATGAAGGGGCACGCCACCAACACCAAGGATAGTGCCCAGGTAAGAAAGTTAATTTTTGAGAACTTTTCTAATTAGAATAAATTTATAGAACAAGGCTGCCGATGCCTACAACTCCGCCAAGGGAGCAGCTGGAGATGCTTGGGATGCCACCAAGGACAAGGCTGGAGAGATGAAGGAGAAGGCCCAGGACAAGGCTGACGATGCCAAGGACGAAGGAAAGTCTCTTACTGAGACCGTCGGAGACAAGATCTCTGGAGCTTGGGAGGCCACCAAGGAAAGAGCTCAAGGTGTCGCTGACGCTTTCAAGGGTCATGCTACCAACTCCAAGGATCAGATGGAGGTAATTTGACGGTTCTTCCTGGAGACTGAAACCTAATTGGGCTTCTTTTTTCAGAACAAGGCCGCCGATACCTACAACACTGCCAAGTACAAGGCTGCTGATGCCTACGACGACGCCAAGGACAAGGCTGGAAATGCCTGGGAGGCTACTAAGGATAAGGCTGCTAACGCCAAGGAAGCAGCTGGAGACAAGGCTGATGAGGCTTCCGATAAGGCCAAATCGATGACCGAGAAGGCCGGAGACAAAATCTCTGGTGCTTGGGAAGCTACCAAGGAAAAGGCTCAGGATGTTGTCGACTCGTTCAAGGGTCACTCAACTGACACCAAGGATAACGTCGAGGTAAGGATATATTGTTGTGAGAATCCAACACATTGATATCCTCTTATAGAACAAGGCTGCTGACATGTACAACTCTGCCAAAGACAAGGCTGGAAATGCTTGGGATGCAACCAAGGACAAGGCCCACAATGCCAAGGAGGCTGCTGGCGACAAAGCCGACGAAGCTTCTGACAAAGCCAAATCCATGACCGAGAAGGCTGGAGACAAGATCTCTGGAGCTTGGGAAGCAACCAAGGACAAGGCTCAAGACGTAGTCGATTCCTTCAAGGGACACGCCACCAACACCAAGGATAGTGCCCAAAACAAGGCCGCCGATGCTTACAACTCGGCTAAGGACGCTGCAGGAGACGCTTGGGATGCTACCAAGGACAAGGCCGAGGAGGTCAAGGACAAGGCTCATGACAAGAAGGAGGACTACAAGGAGCGTTGCAGTGAGGCCAAGGACAGAGCCACTGGCCAACCTCACGGACCTCTCGAGACTGCCAAGGACAAGATCTCCGGTGCTTGGGAAGCTACCAAAGACAAGGCTCAAGACGTTGTCGACTCGTTCAAGGGTCATTCCACTGACGCCAAGGACAATGTTGAGGTTAGAAGATTTGTAAATGATTTCTGTTAGCTAATTGTCACTCTTTTATAGAACAAGGCCTCCGACATGTACAATTCCGCTAAGGACAAGGCCGGAAACGCTTGGGATGCCACCAAGGATAAGGCCCACAACGCCAAGGAGGTTGCTGGCGACAAAGCCGACGAAGCTTCTGACAAAGCCAAATCCATGACCGAGAAGGCTGGAGACAAAATCTCTGGAGCTTGGGAGGCCACCAAGGAAAAGGCCCAGGACGTTGTCGATTCCTTCAAGGGACACGCTACTGACTCCAAGGACAGTGCCCAAAACAAGGCCGCCGATGCTTACAACAAGGCAAAGGACGCTGCTGAAGACGCTTGGGATCACACCAAGAACAAGGCCGAGGAGGTTAAGGACAAGGCTGAGGACAAGAAGGACGACTACAAGGAGCGTTGTAGCGAGGCCAAGGATAGAGCTCTTGGACAACCCCATGGACCGATCGAGACTGCCAAAGACAAGATCGGAAATGCTTGGGAAGCCACCAAGGATGCCACTTCCAACGCTTGGGAGGCAACCAAGGACAAGGCTCAGGACGTAGCTGACTCGTTCAAGGGACATTCTACCGACTGCAAGGACAATGTCGAGGTGAGTAGATGTTGCAAGAATGTGGCTGAAGTTGAAAACATTAGCTAACTAACTTCAGTAACATCTGCTACAAAAAGATCTAACATTCTATTTGTGTTTCTTTTAGAACAGACACTGTGACTCCTACAACTGTTCCAAGGGCAAGACTGAGGGAGCCATCGATGCAACCAAACAAAAGGCTGCTGATGCTTGGGATGCAACCAAAGACAAGGCCCAGGAGGCTAAGGACAAGGCTGCTGACTATTGGGACTCTGCCAAGGAAAAGGCCGATCTTGCCAAAGACAGAGCCACTGGCCAGCCACATGGACCATGGGAGACTGCCAAGGATAAGGCTGAAACCGCTTGGGACAACACCAAGGACGGAGCTTCTGACGCCTGGGAGGCTACCAAGGACAAAGCCGACGACGCCAAAGACGAGGGCAAGTCCATCACAGAGACTGTTGGAGACAAGATCTCTGATGCTTGGGAGGCTACCAAGGAGCGTGCTCAAGGAGTCGCCGATGCTTTCAAGGGACATGCTACCGAGGAGCAGGACTTCGAGGAGCCAACCTTCCACAAGTACTACAACGTCTTCAATGCTTTCGAATAATTTAATTATTCATTAAATTAATCTGTATATAAAAAACCAATGTACATAGTTGAACCTGACCGCCTCCCTTCGTTGTCTCTAATGATCTGTGCTTTTTTATAAATAAAGCTTCAAAAATCCCGAATTTTGTGTTTTTTTTTCTTTTTTTTACTGGTCTAGTTTCGGTCCTCCAATACTGATGGAGCTGAAAATTAAAACTTGAAATCTATCTGATTCCAATCTTCTTCCTTCTTCTTTTTTCCCTTTTCACCAAAAAATTCGTTTTTCAAACCTGTTTTCACTTTGAAACCTAAAGTTTTGACCTTAAAAAATGCTGCAAAAAGATGTTGTGATCTATTTTTTCGAAAAAAAAACAACACGAATTCTTGTTTTTGATTTTTTTTTGATTGATCGTTTAGGCGGTCACTAAACATAAAAACAAATATTTTATTATGCCATGAATAATCATGTTCTTTTCTTTTTTCAGCCCTTTCTATTTTCGTTATTTGGGTCTCGTCACGAAAAGTTAAACTTTTTCACTTATTTTTGTGAATTTTGCTGAAAAATTGGCTGAAAATCATCAATTTGGCGTCGTTTTTTTTTCATAATTTTCTCCGATTTTTGGTCTCGACACGAAAACATAAGTTTTCAAATTTGTCTTTGAGAACTTTGCTGAAAAAAATGGCGGCAAATTTCATGCATAATCTTCCCTTTTGCACCTCTTCTTCTCAATTTTCTCCGATTTTTTGCACTTTTCCTTCCCTCTACTTCCCTTCCCTCAATTTTCAGTAATTTTCAGCAAAAACTTTTATTTTCAGAACATCGTTGACTCCGCAATGGACAAGGTGAACGCCGCCGGTGATTACGCCCAAACCGCCATCAACGACGCCAAGGAGAAGGCGGCCGAGGCGCTCGCCGCCGCTCAAGAAGCCCTTGAATCGGCCCAGGAGAAGGCCGCCGATGCTGGGGACGCCGCTCAGGATGCACTCGATTCGGCTAAGGAGAAGGCTGGTGAGGCGTGGGATGCGGTGAAGGAGAAGGCCGAAGAAGTTGGAGATAAGGCTGATGAGCACGCTGAGACGGCCAAGGAAAATGTTGAGGTGAGCATTTTGAAATTCCAGTCGTTCGAGAAGATTCGAGGCTTCAAAAATTCCTGAAAAAGAAATTCCGCAGGAAAATTCTATGTGCTTTTTAGTTTGTAGTCTGAAGAAGTAATCACTTTTCTACGTTCAACTTGAGCGAAGTTAAGAAGAAATCCTGAATTTTGGTCTGCTAATTATTTAGAAGACGCGGAGAAAAATAGTAAAATAATTAGCAGACCCAAAATCCATGTGGAAGTTTGGGTTTGCTATTCATTTAGCAGGTCAACGAGACGCAGGCGACGAGAGAATCGGTCTGCTCGTTATTTAGCAGGCCCAAGGCGCGCTCTCTGTTTCTCCGTGTCTCTCACTAGCAGGCCCAAGGCGTTGGTCTGCTAATGTGAGGAGCAGAGAAATGGAGGGCACATAGGCCTGCTAAATAATTAGCAGACCAATGCGTTCTCTGCTGCAAACATTAGCAGGTCTGAGAGAAAAGTGGGCGGAGCCTAAATTTCAAATTGCGCAGTTTTTCTATGAAAAAAAATGTCTACTCCAAACCTTAAATTTTAAATTTTTCAGACCACCGCTGCTTCCATCAAAGAACACGCTTCTGACTCTGCTGACTCCATTCAAGAGCACGTCGAGCACGCCAAGGGAAACGCCGAAGACGTTGTCGAGGCCGCCAAAGAAAAGGCTGACGAGCTCGCTGATGCTGCCGCCGACAAGGCTGAAGACGTGAAGGACTCTGCTGAGGAGACTTTCGAGAAACTTCACCACTCTGGAACCACTGCTGTGGAGGATGCCAAGGATAAGGCCGAAGAGGTCCAAGACCACGCTTCCTCCAAGGTCGACGAGTTCTTGGAGAAGACTGAAGAGGTGAAGGATGAGCAGAAGACCATGGCTAGTGGCGCTGGTGAGGCCATTGCTAACGCTTTCGATTCTGCGAAGGAAACTGCTGCCACTGCTTTCGATTCGGCTAAGAATTCGGCTGCAGCTGCCTGGGAGGCTACCAAGGAAGCCGCCACTGAGGCTTATGAGGAGGCTGAGAAGCACGCTGACGATGGTGCGGACGTTGCCAAGGATGTCGTTGAGGAGGCCAAGGAAGAGGCTTCTGATGTTTTGGATGCTGCCGAATCTAAGGTTGAAGAGATCAAGCAGCAAGCTTCGGAGTTCTACGAGGAATCCAAGGAGAAGATTTCGAAAGCTTCGGATTCTGCCAAGGATTCTGCTAAGGACTTGGTCGACGAGGCCAAGGTCAAGGGATCCGACGCTTGGGATGCAGCTGATGCAAAGGCTGAAGAGGCCAAGGACAACACTTCTGATCTTTTGGAATCTGCCAAGCAACAAGGAGAAGAGGCCAAAGAATCTGCAAAGGACTACTTCGAGGAAGCCACAGAGAAGGCTCATGAAGTCTGGGATGCCACCAAGGAAAAGACTTCGGATCTTTTGGAGGCAGCTGAGAAGGAGACCAAGGAAGCTTCGGAAGAGGCCAAGGGATACTTCGAGCAGGCTAAGGAGAAGGCCGCCGACGCTTGGGATTCGGCTAAACAGCAAGGCGAGTCTGCAACGGAACTCGCCAAGGCTTACTACAATGAAGCTGCTGAGAAGGCTGCCGAGACTTGGGAGGATGTTAAGAAGCTTGGAGATGATGCTTCGGAATCTGCTTTGGAGAATGCCGAGAAGGCTAAGGAGGAGGCTAAAGAGACTTTCGAAAAGGTCCATCACTCTACTAACACTGCTGTCAATGATTCTAACGAAGATGCTGAGCACGCCAAAGGACAAGCTGAAGACGCCTTCGAAGCTGCCAAAGATGAGGCCAAGGAGAAGGTTGAAGACGTTCAGGACACTGCTGGAGAGACATTCGAGAAGGTCCATCACTCGGCTACCACAGCTGTAGATGATGCCAAGGAGAAGGTCGAAGAGGTTCAAGAGAAGGCCGAAGACGTCAAGGAAGAAGCTCATGAGCACACGGAGGCTACCAAGCACTCATTCATCGACACAGCCAAGGAGTATGCTCATGCTGCCGAGGCAAAGTTGGAGCGTGCCGCTTCCACTGCCAGCGACGCTGTTCAATACGTCAATGATTCTACCACGTCAGCGGTGAGCAATGTCGGTGACACACTCTCATCTGCAGTTCACACTATCGAGGAGAAGCTTCACGATGCCGAGGAGGCCGCTTCCGAGTATCTTCATGGAGCTAAGGTTTGGAATTTTTTGAATTAGTGCATTTGCGCGTCACAGTGTTTGCGTACGGACCATTTGATTTTACGACACACTTCGAAAATTTGGGCATTTCATGGGGTTGCAACAGGGTACATGCAAATTTGAATTTTCAGTGCTCTTGGGCGCGTTGCGCCGCGCGACGCGGCTGAATATTGGCTTGGAATTTTCAATTCAAAAAATGATGATTTGGCACGGTACCAAGTCCTCGAACTCGAGGTGTGCGACAAAACGAAATACGAAGTTCTGCAGTGTAGGCAAACACTTGACGCGCAAATGACCGACCGAATATTTTAAAACTAAAAAATCTCTTTTTTTTTTCTCCAGAAATCCGCCGCTGAAACCGCCCACGACACCAAGGAAGCCGTCTCCTCGAAGGCCGCCGAAGTCGAGGTACGTCTCAAGAATTGCTGCAACGCGTGCTGTTCGATTAGCTGAACACAAAACAGTGTTTCTTTGATGACTCCTAATTTAGTGTGGCTTAACTTTCTTTAAAATTTTAATTTTTTTCAATTTTCTATCCCTCTCTAGTCCTTGTCCTTTTTGTGTGAATTTGTCCTTTGTCCCGAAATTGTCCAAAACTAACCCCCACTTTTCTGCACCTATAACTTTTCTTGCCGTGTCCCTGTTCTATCCCCCCTTTTCCCCTATCCGCTTGGTCCCCCTGTCGTCGTCACGTCGTCTGCTTCGGAATCGTCATCGTCGTCGCCGGCTTCTTCTAATCTATCCACCTCTTCTACTTCTACTTCTTCTGTTCTTTGCTTCCACTTCAACACCTTCTCTCATTCACACACTTCTTTCTCTCTCCACAGAATGCCGACGTCTCCAAATTCTTGTCGGAACGCGCGGCGGCGTTGCACGAGAAGAAGCGCGAGTTCTTCTATTCGACACCTGAGAAGACGTCAACGACGCCAGTTCCAGTATTCGAAGAAGATCCAGCTCCACAAGAGGTTCCAGTAGTTTTCGGTTCAGTTGAAGAGGTTATCGAACAGGTTGAGGTAGGGATGACATCTCCTTGGTTCTATTTAACTTATTTTCCTCATTTCTCTAACTCTCACTCTCCTCAGTTTCTCTCGGGTTGGCATGGGTATTCTGGATATGATGGCGTGTGGCAATATGGATGGGTTCATATAGTTATCTCACTGTAGAGTTTATAGAATATGTTGCAACCTTATTTTCTAGAGAAATTTTAACCAAAATAGTCTAGTTTGCCGCCGATCTGGCCACTCTACTAACGGCCGAAGCGGTTCAAGAAGTCTGTTGTCGACTCCAGAAGGCGGCACCGTCACCCGTTGCCAACGACACCACCGCCGACGACTACTACACGTTTCCATCGCCATCGTCAGCAAGGTTCAGATCTTTCGAAAAACAAAAACCCCGCCCCCTTCAAGAATAATCCACGTGTCTCTAATCATTGTCTATTTTCACCGCTATTAACCTAATTTTCTTAACCACTTTGAACGTCTGAAAGTCTTTAAAAGCCCTAAAAATAATAGCCTAATCTCTACGAATTCAGTTCAAACTAGAGAAAATTCAAGTTTAAAACCCCATTTCTTGCAGAAGTCTGCTGCTGAAACTGTCAAAGATGCCGCCGAAGAGGTCAAGAAGACTGCTGAACACGTTGAGAAGAAGGCTGATGAGGTATCGATTGATGTATGAGACCCTTAACACGAAATGCTTGCTTCTCGCTGATTATATATGGGTGGCCGAAAATACAAAAAATAAAATAAATATGGAATTTTCGGTCACCCGGCTTTTGTGCGATTACCCGCCTGATTTTTCTGGCTAAAATTGGCAAAGGTGTCATCGCTGACTGCTTGAAATGTTGTGATTTATCGAATAACAAGGCAATATATTTGAAAAATCTGTGAAATTTCTGAAAAAAAAACGACAAAAATGGGAAGCATGTTTTTTTATTGCTGTGGGAAAATCTGGGTCTCCAATTGCTTTTATCAGCGAAATTTCGAGAAAAATATATCGAAAAATCGGAGGAATTGCTCGAAAATAGGCCCAAAATGCTAATTTACAGCGAAATCGTGTCGAGAACCGCCCAGCTCACAGCATATTCCTTTAAGCGGATTACTGTAGGAATTTAAAGGAACATGTGCTGAGTAGCATGGGTCTCGCCACGTTATCGCAGCAACGTGGAATTTCGAGAAATTTTGTCATTTTTTCCATTTTTAAGCGTTTTTCAGAGAAAATCGAGCAATATTTTCCATAAAATTTAGCTGAAAATTTCGAGAACTTATCCAGGGAAATTTCGTCATTTTTTTCTAATTTTTTCAGCGTTTTAGGCAAACTGGACAAAATTCTCGATAAAAAATTGTTTGATAGCTGTTGCAACAGAACTTTATGCTCATTTTAAAACAAAATAATTTTCCAGAACATCAGAACGGGCACTCTTCCATCGCCAAAGAGCAAGAGCGACAACAAGACCGATACTCTTCGCTCGACTCGTTCCGAGGGAACCGCCCAAAAGAGACGATGCGCTATCCTCTAATTGACTGTTCTCTTATTCTTAATTACCCAATAATTGATCCGTTTTATCTTTCTTACACACACGCTTCTTCTCAAACAAATTGATTTTTTTTGTTTTTTCTTCACAAATCGCTTTCTTATGTTTCCCACCCCAAAAATTCGCCACCCACCCATTCTGATCTGGTATGTGTAAAACCGAAATTTTATCGCCCCTCCCCACCGTCAATTTTTTTTTCGTCCTAATTTCGCTAATTCTTTGTCGTAGAAAGAAACTCCCCCCATTCCCAAATGCCCCCTTTTAAAATGTGCCTTTTATAGGTCCTTTCCCCCAAAAAATTTATTTTCTGCACGCTTCTTGAGAAATAATGTACGTCTTTATCGTGCCCCGAAAAAGAAAACAGCAATTTTATTAGTGTCAGAAAATTACAGGTCTACTTCAGATGGGAAACTACTGGGAAAGGAGGCGATAAACCCGGAATTGTGTGAAACAACAAAAGGCACATGATGGGATCGAAAAGGGTGAAAAAAAACATATTTACAGGATACACAAGATGAGATTTTTAATCGATTTTCTTGCCGTCCACAGGCTCGCCACGTCGTTCGGCAGTGCGTTTCCAGGCTTCCGCGGTGACTTCGCGATAGGCGACGAGCATCAAGTCACGACATTTGTCAGATAGCTCGTTGACGTCGTCAAGGGTGAGCTGGAAATTGACGATTCAGACTAGCGAAATTTCAAGAAAACTCACTCCCTCCGTTGGAATCGGATCCAACACTCGAATTACCACTTCTCCGTCGTTTTTAAAATACCGCCCGGGTTTGGAATAGAAAGATCGGTAGTCCGAAAAGACGACCGGGATAATTGGAAGCTGCGCGCGGACGGCGATGTTGAATGCTCCTTTTTTGAAGGGGATAAATCCGCCGTCGCGATTTCTGGTTCCTTCTGGAAACACCCACAGCTTCAGGTTTCGTTTCTTCATCTCCGTGGCACAATAGTCGACAGAAGCCATCGCTCGTTCTCGGTTGAATCGATCGATGAAGATTGTGGAGGACTGGAAAATTTTCAAGATTTTGAATTTTAGAAAATGAGCATTTTTTGAATCTCAAAATTCTCAAAATTTCTGGAAAATTCCGAAAAGAGATTCCGAACATCCCTGAGCGAAAAATCTCAAAATTTGGTACCCCAAAATGGGCAAAAACTCGCTGGTCACCCATATAAAAAATTTAAATTCGTTAGGTGTTCCCGCCAGACGACAAACAAAACGGGGCTCTTTGTCGAGCCAATATTTGAGTATGCTAAAAAATCCGAAAACTGACAAAGTAGGCACCGAGATTGAAGAACGGAACGTATGCGAGGATCCTTTTCATCATCACTGCACAGTGCTTCGGCCAGACTGACGACATGGAGACGATGTCGAGGGAGCTCTGAAAATTGGATTTTTAGAATTTTTTCATGTCTTGAAACTTCAGCATAATTATTGTTTTTTTTCAAAATTTTCTGAAAAGTTAGCACATTTTTGAAGCAAATTCTGGAGAAAAAAAATCGTTTTTTTTGCAGAATTTTTAGAAATTTTCTTAGGTTTTTCAGCTAATTTTGAAAAATTATGTTTCGATTTTTCCGAATTTTTTGTCTGAAATTTGACAGGATGGTGTTCGCGAAGATTACTGTAGTTTTTTCACAAACACAATCACGTCAAAATCACAATCACGTCAAGCAGACAAATGTGTTTGCAAGCAAATTGTAAAATACAAGGTTTTCTACAGTAATCTACAATAAGCTTCACGAAAACCGTTCCATCAAATTTTGGACAAAAAAAACCGGAAAAGTCGAGAAAGAATCTTTGAAAATAGCTAGAAAACCTAAAAAGGTCTAAAAATTTTGCACAAAATGTACTAAAAAATTACATTATTCTCTCGAAAAAATCGCTAACTTTTCAAAGTTTTCAGTTTTGGCGGGAATTCAAATTTTCGTCTAACAATCAGGGCCTGTTTTTGTTGGATATTTTCAGCAAGTTTCATAATGAAATTTTTGTTTCTTTCTATTTTTTTGGTACAAAAAATCGAAGCTGTGGAAGAAAAACACCGGTGGCCGTGGCCGAAAGGTCCCACAACGACAACTACCGTAACCCAAAAATATTCTGTTTTTTTGGATTCATTTTCTCGATTTTCGTGCGTTTTTTGTCAATTTTTCTACTGGAAAAACTTTTAAAATTGTCCGACTTTTTGGGAAAAATAACAGAAAATTCCAAAAAAGTCGGAAATTTTAAAATTTTTGGTAAAGAAAAAATGGCTGAAAACGCATGAAAATCGAGATAAAATTCGAAAAAAAAGGTTTCAGGTTACGGTAGTTGTCGTTGTGGGACCTTCGGCTTCGATTTTTGTGCCAGAAAAATAGAAAAAAAAATCAAAATTTCAATATGAAAATTGCTGAAAATATCCAACAAAAGCAGGCCATGAGACGAAAATTTGATTTCCCGCCAAAACTGAAAACTCTGAAAAATTAGTGATTTTTTATTAGAATTTTCGGCAAAATTATTGGACCTTTTTAGGTTTTCTAGCTATTTTTAAAGATTATTTTTCGTTTTTTTTTCGGTTTTTCGTCTGAAATTTGATGAAACGATTTTCGTGAAGATTACTGTAGATTGTAGAAAACTCCGATTTTCCCCCATATTTGATATTCCGAACTCTCTCGCTCTCTGTTCCTTTAATCATGCCTAATGAGCTCCTCTATTGCTCATCCTTCTCACCAACATACAGTTGGATGAGCACAGCCAATTCCCCTGATTTCCCCGAGGAGACCCTCCCGTCGTCTCATTTTCTCTCTACTCGTTTCCTCCACATTTCATTCTTGCTGCTTCAACGACTTCTCGATGTGTGTTGCCATTTTTCTAGGTTTTTCCAGAACTTTCCCCAATTTTTCTAATTTTTTCAAATTTCTCTATTTTACATTCCAACCACCCAAAAAAGTGCATAGTTTTTGGGAGATCTCGTGGTCTTTTTTTGGGGAAAAATGATTAAAATTCTGTGCGGCGGCACGAATAAGTCAGTCAGCAGACTCGCAAAATAGAGCCAAAACGAAGAGCCAATTGCACGAAATTAGAGCAAAAAAGATGAGAAAAAGAAGGGAAAAAGTGCACATGAACTCTTTTAGAAACTTTCATTTTTGGAGTTCTTTGTCTTCTTTTTGTAAGGTTTGGAAGGCTAGGAATGTCTGGAATATTCCAGAAAATAGCCGAAATTTTGGGATTTTTTCAAAAATTTGAAATAATTTTTTTTGATTTTTCGAGAATTTCTGGGGAAAAACTCTCAAACCCTCGAATAACCTGAAAAATCTGAAAAAAAATTTAAAAAATCCGAAAATTCAAAAATTTCCACAAAACTTAAAAATCACTGAATTTTTTTTTATTTTTTGTGATTTTTCAGACATTTTTCAGGTTTTTGCAAGGTTTTTTTCTGATTCTAGAGATTTTTTTTCTAATTTTGGTTATTTCGAAAAAATCAAAAATTTTGGATTTTCAAAATTCTGACTTTTTCAGAGTTTTACAATTTAGGTTTTTTTGGAATTTCCAAAATTCTCAATTTCTAGAAATTTTCGAAATTTTGATTATTTTGTAATTTCGTAAATTTTTAAATTCTAAATATTTGAAATTCGAACTTTTCAGAATTTTAGGCTTTTCTGGAATTTCTGAAATTCCCAAAATTCTTGATTTCTAGAAATTTTGAAGGTTCTAAATTTGTGAATTTTCTGAAATTTCGAAAATTTTCCAATTTCTTTCAGAATTTCTGAATTTTCGGACTTTTAAAATTTTGACTTTTTCCGAATTTTAGACTTCCTGAAATTTCTGAAATTTTTCCTGAAAAACCTGGATAAATTTTTTAAAAATTTCAAAAAACGAAATTTTGCTTGCTGGGGGACTAGAAAACTCAAGCTAGTCTCTAATACCTTTCCAGATTTTAAGAATTTTCCTCGAATTTTTTCTTTATTTTTATGTGAATTTTTTTCTCAAAAATTTTAAATTCTCCTACCTGATGATTACAAATCACAATGGCTGGTCCATCGACCTGTGTGATCTCATAATTGTAGACTGTCGTATGGATTCCAGTCCATTTGCTCCAGTAGTAGAACGAGTGGAACACATAGTCGGCGCCCTGGAATTTGAATTTTGGGCTACAACGATGATCTTCGATATATAATTTCGCTTTTTTCTCTTTCTAATCTTTCTGGGAGACGCTGTTCCGACATGCATGAGGGTCGTCGTTTTTTTTTCCGACGACCCAACAACTATTTCTTCATTTTTTCCCGCTCCTTTTGTTCTTTTTTAGTACATTTCTCTCTATTTTTTCCCATTTTCTCCCCCTACCTTTGAACCCAACCACGATGGAATCATTGTGACACAAACTTCCATTCCATGCAGAAGAATTGTGATGTAGAAAAACGAAATTCGCACATAATAGTGAAATTTTGTGGAGAAATTGTAGAAAACTAGAAAGACAGCTAGCACGAATAGCAGAATTGTCCAGAAGTCTGCCATCTGGAATTCCAGAATAAATTTTTTTGCGAATATTGAAAGCGAAAAAAATTGGGTTCAAAGAAGAGAATTGATAAAAAAGCGAAAAAAATGATAAGGAAAAAATTCGGGCTACAATGTACGTTGTTCTGTCTATCCTATTTTTCTCTGCAATCTCTTTTCCGACAACTGTTTTTTTTTCTTCAATTTTTCGAATTGTAAAGTTCGACGCGCCCACAGCCTGATCACGAGGACGACCTTTTTATTTCTGATCAACTAGAAAGGCGAAAAAAAGCCAATAATTGTCTGAAAACAGTGTATTTTTGTTGTTTTTTGGTTAAAAAATCACTGAGAAATCCAGCGTCGTAAAGTCAAATGCATCGGATACACTCCGGTGTTTGCACACTTGCGCACCGTACCACATCGAAAAACGGAGGGAACTTTAAATTCGAGTTTTTATTTGGAAAAAAGCGAAAAAAAAGAAAAGAGAGACAAAAGTACGAAAAATGATAAAAGTGGTGCGAAAAGAAAGGGCAATCTGGCGACGACGACGGTTGTGTATGGAGGCCATGTGTCAATTTTTATCACTCAGTCAGCAGCTCGGTTCGGGGGGAAGAGAGACAGCAGAATACGACTTGATGGTCGCTGAAATGGAAGCTATAAAGCAGAAATGGGAAAACTAGAAGCATTAATAAAAAATCACCTTAAAACTCAAAGAAACATTTTAAAACTACAATTCGAAACTTTTTGAAAATTTGAGTTTTGCAATCGCGCTCTATGGATAAAACTCAATTAAATGACGTTTCCCTTTGTTTTCTTCAATTTTTGAGTTCCCAAGCGAGTCTATAATATCGCTCTATTGACAATCCGCGACCTACATCGACGAAAATGCATTTTCCCAACCAAAAAAAAAACCGGGCGGGTCGGGGCGAATGTATGTAATTCGAGAACGCGTTTCTCCCCCATTGCTCACTCCTTCTCTCAATTTTTTTTTGTCCCAAATGTTTTTTCAAAAATCCAATTTTCCTCTTTTTGACCTCATATCGATTATGTTAAAGTAAAAAGAAGAGAAAAGTAGTCTCAAGTTTTTTTGTTCGAAAAAAAGAAGCCTAAACGATCATATTTGTTTTGTATCTCTTTTCGTTCCTGTCTGGGGCGAAGAACCGCCCGGGTGGTCTCTCGGTGGAATGGAGAAAAGTGAGAAAAGAGTTTTGTTTGCGATGAGTAGTCTAGCTTTCCACAATTACAGTAGGCTTTTGGGATACTGTACCTATCCTAAATTGTGTTTCATTGAACTTTTTAGAGATCTCCGTCATTTTTAATATGGGAGGTATTTGGTATTGAAAAGTGCAAACTTCATGCTGTGAGCCATGGGCACAGGCCTCAATTTTCATTTCCCCCTTTTCCCCCCTCAACTACAGTAACCCTTAAAAGTTCCAAAAGTTCATTTGTATCCATCATCATTATCTGTGTTCTCTTTTCCAAAGTAGTTTCTGTTCTTCAGTTTCCTGTCACATCATCATCATCATTTTCTCCAATTTTGTAACGAACGAAACACACTTTTTTTTCCTTTTTTTTCATGTCAGTTAATAGTTGTACTTTTGCGGAAAAAAAGAAAAAGAAAATCATTCCGTTTCTTTTTCTCGTTTTGTCACGTTTTTGGGATGGAGACCTCTTTTAATATTGTAGTTTGCTAACGAGATAAATGTAGAGCACCACAGTATACTTGCCCTCTTTGAGCTTAATTATCTCGGTTCTTATGAGAGATACCAGACATCTGTCCACTGATAAAATATTGGAGATATTATTATAAACCTTTCATCAGTTGACACATTTTCGTTACCTTTCACAGGAACCGAGATACATTTCTCAAATTTTAAAGTTAAGAGGGCTTACGGTACTTGAACTATGAGATCAATTATCTCAATTTCTGAAAAAGATATCGAAAGGCTGCCAACTAATGAAATGTTGGTGATATTATAATGAATGTTTTATCAGTTGACAAATGTTTTATATCTCTTACAGGAACGGAGATAATTAACACAAATTTAAAAGTTTTTTCTTCCGCTCATTTTCCCATGAAAACGATAAAATGGAGCTCGAAAAAAACGGAAAAAAACGGCGAAATTGGCTCCGAACAATAGAACAATTACATGAAATTTTATATTCAGAGGCTGGGGGAAGAATTGGGAAATTTTGCATGAGGTCATTTCGAAATAACCGGGAGAATTTGAGAAGAAAAATAAATATATTGTTGGGAAGGTTTTGAAAACTTTTCAGGGACCGGGATTTTTCAAAAATATTGCTAGCTTTTAGTTTTTGAGATTCTAAAAATCTAAAATTTCGAATAATTGCTATTCAGTTTTTTTTTAAAAAGTCTTCCGTTCGTTTACATGAATCTTTTGCTATTTTTTCTTCATTTTTTTTCGGCTTCTCATCTATTCGCCTTCGCTCGTCACACATGTTTATGAATATGAGCGATGGATGGATGTGTTGTGTGTGTGCAATGGGCCCCTAGAAAAAAAACCCCTTTTGTAACAAAAATAACAAAAAGTCGGATGAACCTCAATGAAAATTTGGAATCTGAAAATCTGAGAATTTTAGAATCTTAGAATCTTAGAATCTTAGAATCTTAGAATCTTAGAATCTTAGAATTTTAGAATCTTAGAATCTTAGAATCTTAGAATCTTAGAATTTTAGAATCTTAGAATCTTAGAATCTTAGAATCTTAGAATCTTAGAATCTTAGTATCTTAGAATCTTAGAATCTTAGTATCTTAGAATCTTAGAATATTAGAATCTCAGAATCTTAGAATCTTAGAATCTTAGAATCTTAGAATCTTAGTATCTTAGAATCTTAGTATCTTAGAATCTTAGAATCTTAGTATCTTAGAATCTTAGAATCTTAGAATCTTAGAATTTTAGAATCTTAGAATCTTAGAATCTTAGAATCTTAGAATCTTAGAATCTTAGTATCTTAGAATCTTAGAATCTTAGTATCTTAGAATCTTAGAATATTAGAATCTCAGAATCTTAGAATCTTAGAATCTTAGAATCTTAGAATCTTAGTATCTTAGAATCTTAGTATCTTAGAATCTTAGAATCTTAGTATCTTAGAATCTTAGAATCTTAGAATCTTAGAATCTTAGAACCTTAGAATCTTAGAATCTTAGAATCTTAGTATCTTAGAATCTTAGTATCTTAGAATCTTAGTATCTTAGAATCTTAGAATATTAGAATCTCAGAATCTTAGAATCTTAGAATCTTAGAATCTTAGAATCTTAGAATCTTAGAATCTTAGAATCTTAGAACCTTAGAATCTTAGAATCTTAGAATCTTAGTATCTTAGAATCTTAGTATCTTAGAATCTTAGTATCTTAGAATCTTAGAATATTAGAATCTCAGAATCTTAGAATCTTAGAATCTTAGAATCTTAGAATCTTAGTATCTTAGAATCTTAGTATCTTAGAATCTTAGAATCTTAGTATCTTAGAATCTTAGAATCTTAGAATCTTAGAATCTTAGAACCTTAGAATCTTAGAATCTTAGAATCTTAGTATCTTAGAATCTTAGTATCTTAGAATCTTAGTATCTTAGAATCTTAGAATCTTAGTATCTTAGAATCTTAGTATCTTAGAATCTTAGAATCTTAGAATCTTAGAATATTAGAATCTCAGAATCTTAGAATCTTAGAATCTTAGAATCTTAGAATCTTAGAATTTTAGAATCTTAGAATCTTAGAATCTTAGAATCTTAGAATCTTAGAATCTTAGAATCTTAGAATCTTAGAATCTTAGAATCTTAGAATCTTAGAATCTTAGAATCTTAGAATCTTAGAATCTTAGAATCTTAGAATCTTAGAATCTTAGAATCTTAGAATCTTAGAATCTTAGAATCTTAGTATCTTAGAATCTTAGTATCTTAGAATCTTAGAATCTTGAGAATCTTAGAATCTTAGAATCTTAGAATCTTAGTATCTTAGAATCTTAGGATCTTAGAATCTTAGAATATTAGAATCTCAGAATCTTAGAATCTTAGAATCTTAGTATCGTAGAATCTGAGAATATTAGAATCTCAGAATCTTAGAATCTTAGAATCTTAGTGTCTGGGAATCTTAGAATCTTGAGAATCTTAGAATCTTAGAGTCTTAGAATCTTAGAATCTTAGAATCTTAGAATCTTAGAATCTTAGAATCTTAGTATCTTAGAATCTTAGTATCTTAGAATCTTAGTATCTTAGAATCTTAGAATCTTAGAATCTTAGAATCTTAGAATCTTAGAATCTTAGAATCTTAGAATCTTAGAATCTTAGAATCTTAGAATCTTAGAATCTTAGAATCTTAGAATCTTAGAATCTTAGAATCTTAGAATCTTAGTAGAATCTTAGAATCTTAGAATCTTCTTAGAATCTTAGAATCTTAGTATCTTAGAATCTTAGTATCTTAGAATCTTAGTATCTTAGAATCTCAGAATCTTAGAATCTTAGAATCTTAGTATCTTAGAATCTTAGAATCTTAGAATCTTAGAATAATCTTAGAATCTTAGAATATTAGAATCTCAGAATCTTAGAATCTTAGAATCTTAGAATCTTAGAATCTTAGAATCTTAGAATCTTAGAATCTTAGAATCTTAGAATCTTAGAATCTTAGAATCTTAGAATCTTAGAATCTTAGAATCTTAGAATCTTAGAATCTTAGAATCTTAGAATCTTAGAATCTTAGAATTTTCGGATTTCAGAATCTTAGAATCTTAGAATCTTAGAATCTTAGAATCTTAGAATCTTAGAATCTTAGAATCTTAGAATCTTAGTATCTTAGAATCTTAGAATATTAGAATCTCAGAATCTTAGAATCTTAGAATCTTAGTATCTTAGAATCTTAGAATCTTAGAATCTTAGAATCTTAGTATCTTAGAATCTTAGAATCTTAGAATCTTAGAATCTTAGAATCTTAGAATCTTAGAATTTTAGAATCTTAGAATCTTAGAATCTTAGAATCTTAGAATCTTAGAATCTTAGAATCTTAGA